CTGGTACCTTTGCAATGATTGTATCAATGTCTGCTTGTGAAAGAGTGATGAGCGGTAACATTTCTGGAGTAATCTCTGTGGTGTGCGTGGTAATTACATTGGGAGGAATAGTCACTGCTTGGTAGCGGTCGAGAGATGAGGCCATTTTGACAAGATTGGGAGAATTGAACATTTCTCGTACGGTGGTATTCAGTCCGATCTGTCTCAACTGTGCCAGAAGCCGTACGACCAACAACGAATGACCTCCCAGAGCAAAGAAATTGTCATGTCGACTAATTCGATCAATGCCAAGCAACTCACGCCAAATATCGGCCAGTTTTTCCTCCATTTCACCTTGTGGAGCTTCATACTGCTGACGCGCAAACGCCGCATCATCCGGAGCTGGGAGTGCCCGTCGGTCCAGTTTACCATTGGGTGTAAGTGGTAGGGACGGTAGACACACATAAGCCGCTGGAACCATGTAATTGGGCAGTAATTTTAACATATATTTGCGCAAATCTTGTGCTAATAATGTATCCGCATCGGCCACTACATAAGCTACGAGACGAGCATCTGACCCATTGCCATAGGTTTGTACAACCACCTCGTGCACCTGAGGATGTTCGACTAGACGTGCTTCGATTTCGCCGAGCTCAATTCGAAAACCACGAATTTTCACTTGCTGGTCCGTGCGTCCTAAAAAGACCAGATTACCATCAGACAGATATCGTGCTCGATCACCGGTACGGTACATGCGTCCTGCTGGACTGTCACTAAATGGGTCGGGTAGAAAGCGTTCTGCGGTAAGTTCAGGACGGTTTAGATAGCCACGTGCCACACCAGCACCACCAATATACAGCTCTCCCTCGGCTCCTAATGGCACTGGCTCACCACGTGCATCCAGCAAATATGCACGAAGATCTGCAAGTGGTCGACCAATTGAGTAAGCATTTTCTAAAGTTTCAATTATTTTGTAGGTAGCATGAACTGTTATTTCGGTGATACCGTACATATTGACCAATAATGTTGGACCTGTATTATATTTCTCATACCATTCCTTTACAATCAATGGATCTAA